CTTGAACTCCCGACCTCAGGTGATCCACCCACCTGGGCCTCCCAAAGTGCTCGGATGATAGGCGTGTGTGTAACTTTGTACTGAAGTGTCACATACATGCAGAAGAGTATATTCATCTTATGTATACAGCTTCCTGAATTTCTGTAAACTGAATGCCTCTTGTTGCCAACACCTGGGTCAAGAAAACAGGACCTTGCCAGACCCCGGAGGCCCTCGGGCACAATGTCCCGGAGGCCCTCATTCCCGGACTCCATCCACCCGCACTGGCCCTGCCCGTTCCTGAACCTGATCCCTGCTGGGCACCAGCTCTGCCCGAGATTCTTGCCCCTGACTCGGGCACAGGGTGTTGAAGGTGGCTTCTGCTGGCTGCAGTCACTGTCCTCCGGATGACAGGCCACACCCAGCATTGATGGGCATTTGCATTTTCCCAGTCGGGGCTATTATGAATAGGGTAGCTTGGAACATTCTTGCTCGTTTTTTGGTGAACCCAGGTATAAACTCCCACTGGGCACATCCCTAGCAGTGGAACTGCTGGTGAACTGCCCGTAAATTCCTCTGGGCCACTGCTGGGGGAGCCAGGAATGCTACCCCAGAGGATGCTGGCATTTGCTGTGATTTCAGGGAATTCACACCCCACCCTGGGCCTGAACCCTGAACCCACACCCTACCAGGTCCCTCCAGCCTTTGCAGTCTGCTTGTCTTTGGTGGGGCAGGGCTTGGACTGGGGTCCCCCAATTGGGACGGGCAGCACATATGGGCCCTCCACCAGGCCGGGCACACCCAGAGGAGGCGCCCATCCCGGAGGCCCACACCCACCCTTCCTTCCTCAGGAAAACCTGTGGTCTGATAAGGCCTCCAGTCTCTGCTTTTCAAAACCACCCCGGCACCAGGACCCCCCAAGGGAGGAGGGGCCACAGCCCGCCCAGCCTGTGGCAGCAGAGGCTATGGAACCTGGCTCCTGGTGCACACCAGCCCCTGAGCAGGAGGGCCTCCCGAAAGGCTCCAGGAGAAGGAAGCGCTGAGTATCCTGGGTCTGGGAGCTTTAAGGCAGGGGTGGCCAACTCAGGTGGAATGGCCACTCCTTCCTGCAGCTCCCCCGCCCCGGGCAGGGCACCCCCCCGCAGGCCTTGGCCAAGGCCCCAGTCCCCCTCCAGTCCCTCAGCCTAGGTTTTCCCTTTGATGCTACCTGATCCTGTACTGGGATGGACCCTCAGGGGCAGGGGGCCCAGATGAGGAACCCTCCCAAGTCTTGCTCACCACCCACATATCTGCCCAGCTCCCGGAACGAGGCAAGCACCTTTTCTCCAGCTCAGCCTTCTTCTGGGGTCCTTTAGCCCCTAGGGCTCCCAGAAGCAGCCAGGGATCAATCACCTAGAGCCCAAATCCCAACATGAAGGAAGTGCCCACAGGGTACCCAAGATGTGCAAGTGCAGCCACAGCCAGGGAGGGGGCCTCTGTCCCCACCACGCCCACCCCTCAGCCCCCACCTTGCAGTTGCTGACCCATTAGGGTAATAACGCCCACAAGAAAGGCGGAGCTTCTGGGGATTCCTCAGTAAGGTGGGTTCTCCTGATGCAGGCTGGTGCTCAGAGCAGTGGGAGACTCGCCCCACCCCACGGCAGGTGGTAACTCCAGTTCCAACCCAGACAGCTCCAGAGCCCTCAGGACTCAGGGCCACACAGGCCACACAGGTGGGGTTGTGGATGTGGAGCTCATCTTGCTGGAACTGACCGGCTGGCCTTGAAACACTGGCTTGGGCCCTGTTAGCCAGAGCTGTGCAGGAGAAGAATGGGCTAGTCCTACCTGACCGGGGCTGCAGGTCACCCTGTTCCATTTTGATGGGGACCCAGAGTTCAGAGAACAGATTCTGCTGTGCCAAACCCCAGCCAAGGTAGAGAGAGAGTCCTGGGTCAGGTTATAATCTGGACTGGGTGCTATGTCTCCATCCTCTGGAAGCAGCTTGTGGAAGCCCACCCAGGGCCGACGTGTCCTACAGACGTGGCTCTGCCCTGGCCCCTGCACAAGGGACCTCTGAAACCCCAAACAGGGAAGAGGAAGCAGTGCTCTGGGGGTCCCCCCAACTGACCCCTGGCCCCTGTGCATCCTTGAGGTCCCAACTCTGCTCCCTCTGGCTTCCTCCAGGGGTTTCCCAGCCTCCTCCCCGCAGGACACACCTGCAGCCCTGGCCTCTCTCCTCCAGCCTGGGTACCACATCCACAACCCTGTACTTTCTGTGCCATGAACCATCTGACACCACCCACTGCCTGTGAAGATAGGCCGGCCCTCCTCTGACTTCTCTGCCGTCTTCTACAATCCTGACGCAAGTCAGCCCACATCCTGGAAATTCATCTGACTGATCCTATTAAATCAAGTCTGTCTCTATTTGTAAAGTCCTAACAGCGGCCAGGTGTGGTGGCTCACGCCTGTCATCCCAGCACTGTGGGAGGCTGAGGCAGGTGGATCACCTGAGGTCAGAGGTTCAAGACCAGCCTGGCCAACATGGCAAAATCCCATCTCTACTTAAAATACAAAAATTAGCCAGGCGTGGTGGCACATGCCTGTAATTCCAGCTACTTAGGAGGCTGAGGCAGGAGAATCATTTGAACCCAGGAAACAGTGTTTACGGCAAGCTGAGGTCATGCCACTGTATTCCAGCCTGGGCAACAGAGTGACACTGTCTCAATAAATAAATAAGTAAATAAATAAATACAGCCTGACCAACATGGAGAAACCCATCTCTATTTAAAAATTAAAAATATTAAAATAAATAAATAAAGTCTTAATAGCATCTTCAGCCCCAGGAAAAGCCCAACAGCCCTGGCTCAGCAGCCAGTTGTTGGAAATTAGCTCATTCTCTGTGGTCTCAGCAAGGCCACCCAGCCTCTCCACAATCCCCGTGTCATTCCCTGTGGTCCCAGCAAGGTCACCAAGCCTCTCCACACTCCCCGTGTTATTCCCTGTGGTCCCAGCAAGGCCATGGAGCCTCTCTACACTCACCATGTGCACGCTCAGGGCTTGGCCCGCCCCGCCCAGCTGGAGTGGGACACTCCCCATCCTCCCCCATCTCCATGGCCACGGTCCCCAGGAAGCTTCCCAGAGCCCCACCTCCCCTGACAGGGCACTTTGCATTTGATCCCGAGACTTGGCTCAGGGCTACCCTTGGTAGGGCGAGCCCCTGAAGGGCAGGGCCCTGTTTTGCCCAATGTCCAGAATCAGATGCGACTCGCAGATGACATTGGAAAATGCACTACAGTGGTCGTGACACATTCACAGTCATGGTTAGCCACCAGCAAGCAAGCACACGGACCCGCCACACACGGTGCCCACACACAGACCTGCCACACACACGGCGCACACGGACCCACCACACATGGCAGAAACTGACCTGACACACACAGATCCACCATACAGGCCAGACACGGACCCACCACGTACGGCAGACACGGACCTGACATACATGGACCCGCCACACACGGCAGACATGGACCTGACATACACAGACCCACCACACACAGGCGCACACGGACCTGCCACACACAGCACACATGTATCCCCTACACACGGGCGCACAGGCAGACGCAATCACCATCCACAGACACACATGAGCAGGTGCCTGTAGGAAGGAGCACAGACATGTGGCAGAGACGCAGGCTAGTATTTTATGTTTTATTTTGAGACGGATTCTCACTCTGCTGCCCAGGCTGGAGTGCAGTGGCACGATCTCAGCTCACTACAATCTCTGCCACCCAGGTTCAAGCAATTCTCCTGCCTCAGCCCCCCACATAGCTGGGATTACAGGCGTGCACCATGACACCCAGCTAAGTTTTGTATTTTTAGTAGAGACCAAGTTTCACATGTTGGCCAAGCTGGTCTTGAATTCCTGATCTCAGGTGCTCTGCCTGTTTCGGCCTGCCAAAGTGCTGGGATCACAGGCATGAGCTGCCACACTCCGCTGAGACTGCCTTATTGGCTGTAGTTGAGCTCCAACATAGGCAAAGGTGACCATTTTTATTTTTATTTATTATTATTATTATTTCGAGACAGAGTTTCTCTCTTGTTACCCAGGCTGGAGTGCAATCAATGGTGCTATCTCGGCTCACTGCAACCTCTGCCTCCTGGGTTCGGGCAATTCTCCTGCCTCGGCCTCCCGAGTAGCTGGGATTACAGGCGTGTGCCACCATGCCCAGCTAATTTTGTATTTTTAGTAGAGATGGGGTTTCACCACGTTGACCAGGATGGTCTCAATCTCTTGACCTCGTGATCCACCCACCTCAGCCTCCCAAAGTGCTGGGATTACAGGCGTGGGCCACCGCGCCCGGCCTGACCGTTTTTATTTTTTGCTTTTTTTTTTTTAGATGAAGTCTTGCTCTGTCACCCAAGCTGAAGCCCAGTGGCGCCTTCTCAGCTCACTGCAACCTCCACCTTCTGGGTTCAAACAATTCTCCTGCCTCAGCCTCCCAAGTAGTTGCGATTACAGGCATCTGCCACCATGCCCAGCTAATTTTTGTGCTTTTAGTAGAGATGGGATTTCACCATGTTGGCCAGGATGGTCTCGAACTCCTGACCTTGTGATCCACCCCCCTCAGCCTCCCAAAGCATTGGGATTACAGGCGTGAGCCACTGCGCTCTGCCAACCTGGGTTTTTTTTTTTTTTTTTTTTAAGAGACTGGGTCTCACTATGTTGCTCAGGCTGGAGTGCAGTGGCTATTCACAGGCGTGATCCCACTACTGATCAGCACGGGAGTTTTGACCTGCTCCGTTTCCAACCTGGGCCGCTGGTTCACCCCTCCTTAGGCAACCTGGTGGTCCCTTGCTCCCAGGAGGTCACCATATTGATGCCGAACTTAGTGCAGACACCCGATCGGCATAGCGCACTACAGCCCAGAAGGCCTGGGCTCAAGCAATCCTCCAGCCTCAGCCTCCCAAGTAACTGGGACTACAGGCACGCGCCACTGCGCCTGGCCCAACCTGGGTTTTTTTTTGTTTTTGTTTTTGTTTTTAAACCAGAATATTTATTGCATGACTAAATCGGTGAAATTCTTAAGATGAACTGGATGCTGCAACAGCTGCCCTCTTGGGTTTAGGTGTTGTTCTTTCACGGAATCCATGCCTGAATCTGCAGTATACAATTTTTAGATGCCTCATTCAACCAGTCCCGGTAGTATTTCGTCTTTTAGCCTTGGCACTCCAGTTATACTTTCTCTTGCGCTTGGCGGGGTAGCCACATTTGCCGCAGGTCGACTTCTGAAGGTGGTAGGCCTTAGAGCCGCAGCGGCGGCACAACGTGTGCGTCTTATTACGACGCTTCCCAAACGATGACGTTCCTTTCGTCATCCTGCTTCTGCGACCGGGACCAGAAAACCAACCTGGGTTTTCAAAGGGAGAACAGAAAGGAAACAAAAAGGGGTATGAGGAAATGATGAAGGGGGACCCCAAAAGGTGTTGGGGTAAATGTGAATATCACAGAAGGGTTGAGTGGAAAACATGGAAAGTGGTTTGGATATGGGAAGTTTGCTTTGGGACAGGGTGTTTGCACTTTGCATTTTGGCAGCATTTTGTTATCTTGAGCAAAGACTCAACAAACACAGAGTTGGAATCACCTTTAGGGCTATGGCTTGTGCCAGCCAAGCCAGGCTGAGCTTCATAAAAGTCTCTCAGCACAGCATTCTGGCAAGTCTCCTGTGTGGCATGAGGACTCAGTTCATAACACACAGGTGCACGTGAACGTGAGGACCAACCATCCTTACATACAGGGCACACTCCCACTCAGCTTGGAAGTTCTGTGGCTCCTGTGGCCTGTGTGTACTTCCACGTTGGGCAGAGCCAGGGGCACCCTGAAGCCCTGGATTCTAAAGCTGAAAATGAGCATCTTGGCGGAGATAGGGCTGGAGAGACTGCTTAACTCCCAACGCCAGAGCCAAAAGGATGTGGTTTTCATTGATTGATTGGTTTTGCATTTTTTCCTTTTTATTTATTTTGGAATAATTTTAGATTTCAGAAAATGTGCGACATTGCAGGAGGGGAGTGGTGGCTCAAACCTGTAATCCCAGCAATTTGGGAGGCTGAGGTGAGTGTATCACCTGAGGTGGGAGTTCAAGACCAGCCTGGACAACATGGTGAAACCCCATCTCTACTAAAAATACAAAAATTAGCTGGGTGTGGTGGCACACGCCTGTAATCCCAGCTACTTGGGAGGCTGAGGCAGGAGAGTCACTTCAACCCCAGAAGTAGACGTTGCAGCGAGCAGAGATTGTGCCACTGCACTCCAGCCTGGCGACACAGCGAGACTCTGTCTCAAAAACAAAAACAAAAAGTCCCTCAGTTTGGGCTTGTCTGATGTACTTTCTCAGGAGTAGACGGAGGTTCTGAGTTTGGAAAGAATTTCAGAGGTGAGGTGCCTTCATGGCCCACCTCATCAGGGTGACTGACGTCTGCACAGTCGCCTGACGGCGGGTCACCTGTTCAGCCGAGTTCCTCCTTGCCTGTCTGGACTGCCTTTGGATAGGAGTCCCTAAAGCCCGTCCACACTCAAGGTGGTGCATAGCGGTCATCTCTGCTCCAGAACCTACAGGTATTATTTGGAATTATTTTGTAGGGAAGGCTGGTCTCTTTCCTGCATTTAATTGTTGTTTTTACCTCAGCATGTGCCCCAGCTCGGGGTCATAAGCCAGCACCAAGTGGTTCTGCTGTTCTCCTCCCAGGGGTCCCCAGGGCCCCCATGCCCCTGTCATCCCCGCCATGGCCAGGAGTTCAGCTTGCCTTCTCCTGCTCTGCCTCAGCACCAGCCATGTTCCCAAGGGACCCATTCACAGTTCCTTTTCATCTCATTAGAGTTCTTGCTTATGAATTTGCTGACCTGTTACTGACTCCCCACTCCTGGCTCTCCAAACCGAGCACGTCCTGACACGCGATGGGTTCCATGACCTGTGAATGTTGCCCTACAAGTGAGTGAGCGAAAGAGCTGAGGCAACAGGCTGGCCTTGTGCAGGGCTGGGGCTTCTCCACATCCACCAACGGAACCCCAGCAGACCCCCTCTCTTCCTTTCCCAGGCCCAGCTCCAGAGGTGGGCCAGGTGACCCTGGCAAGTCCTCCTCCTCTCTGTTCCCCATGTAGGGACATTCCAGGCACTCCATAGGTACTTGGCAAACATGTCCGCCTTTCCCTTCCTCCAGGGCCAGGCTGACGTGGCCCTCTTGCCTGCCCCACTGTGTCCCAGCAGCAACCCCCACAGGGGACACAGGGAGAGCCAGGTGTCCCTTTCACCTGCCGTGGCTATCTGAGGAGCTATCACCGTCTCTGCAATGCGAGCCCTCCGAGGCCAGGGGCCCCTGGGGAGCAGCTGTGTCCCTCCAGCCGGGACTGAGGCCCTGGCCCCCATCACCTCCCGGTGCTGACCGGCTGGTCAAGAGCCTGGGATGGAATTACAGCCCCAGGTCTGCCCCGCAAGGGCAGCAGTGCCTCCCCTAGGCCTGGGGAGCCGACTTTCGGGCACCTGTTGTGTTCGGGGGACAGGGTGCTGCAGGCTGGGTGCTGTGGGGGCTCTGTGCTGGAGGTAGGGATCAGGGACCACTGGGATGAATGCAGAAAGGAGGCTCGAAGGAGGGAAAGGGCAACAAGGCCAGGGCTGGGACTGAGAGGCTGGATGCTGGAGCCTAAAGGGACTCAGGCAGGCCCTGGGTGCCAGGTGGTGAAGCAGGAGGGAGTCCAGGCTGGCCTGGGAGCTGGTTCCATTCCAAGCTGTGCAGGGCTGGTGGGGAGGGACCAGTGCCCCCTGACATGGCTGGGAGAACCCTCCCAGGGTCTGGTCAGGCCAAGCTGTTCACAGACCCTCCAAGGAAAGGCCCAGCTCTGCCTGGGCTGGGCTCTGGCTGCCTTCCCACCCCTGTGCTGGGGCTGGTGTGGGCCCTGGCATTGAGGACAGGCTGCCCTGCCCTCTCCCCTTCCCTGGCTCTGCCCCCTGTCTCCCTGCCCCTTCTCCTTCCGTCTGCTGGGTCCTGGCCCCATCGCCTGCTCTGCTTTCTGCCTCTGCCCTTCTCAGACCTTCAGTGCCTCCCCTGACCCACCCCATCCCACCAGGTGCATGACAGGTGTGGCCTGGCCTCCGTCCCGTGGGAAGGTCTGGAATGCAGAGCCCTGGTGCCGTGGCCTGGAATGGCGATGGGAGCCAGGGCTCAGGAAGAAAGGGGGCTGGTAGTTGGCAGCAGCATTTTGGAAGGACGATTGGGGGTGAGCAGGCGCTTGGAAGGGAGACCAGTCGACAGTTGGCTGTGGCAGCTGGAGCGGCAGTTGGGGCTTGGCAGGGGCGCAGGCCCGAAGGACAGTTGGGGTGGGGCAGCCGTGGGTTGGCAGGTAGCCCCTCTCCCCAGAGCAATTCTGGAGGGTGGTCTTGGGGAGGCCTGGGTGGGAAGGCAGGGCCAGCTGGCACTGGACCTGGCCAAGCCAAGCCCAGGAGGAGGCCACCTCGATCTGGCCTCAGCAAGGCCACCTCCCTCAGCCCGTGGGTGGAGCTCTGCTGATGCCCATGGCAGGCCTCCGGTCCACCCGCAGGACCCAGGATGACGTGTGGTAGGCGGCTCCCTGGACAGCCCCAGCATCTTCAGGCCGGCAGCGGGCCTCTCTTCCCGCCCTGCCCTCTGCCTTTCCCTCTGTCTGGGCTCCCAGCAGAAGCCTGGAGAGGGCAGGGACTGGTTCTGGGCAGTTCCCTGGGAGGGGGCAGGACTCGCAGGGCTGTTTCCATGGGGACGACTGAGCAACACCACTGGCTGGTGAATAAACAGGCAGGTTCCCTGACCAGTCACTGAGACAAAGACAACCATAGAAACCCCAGCTGGGGGTGGAAGGGAAACGGTGCCTTGGGAAAAGAGGGGGCAGCAAAGGCCCCGGCAAGGTGGGGGAGCTGCCCAGGGGACACAGGACAGGAAGGGGTATCTGCTGTTCTCAGGAATTTTCTTTTCCAAAGCTCCTCCCAGACCATCCTTCCTGAGGATGGGAGGCAGGTCCCTACGCTCCTGGTGGTGTTGGAGCACCCGGCATGGGGCTGGGTCCCCTCCCAGATCCCTGGCCCCCAGAAGTCACACAGTGAGGGCAGAGGGAAGGTGGTCTGCTGGCAGGGCAAGCGGTGCAGGGGGTCTGTGAGCACAGGTCTGCAGAGGCCAGAAGCTTGAGATTGTGCCTGGACCCTGCGGGAGCCCTGCTGGCCATGGGACTCTGGTTGAGTTGTTCCAGGGGGTTGTGGGGGGCATGTCCCTCAGCAGGTACATCCATGGGCCCGCCCAGCCTCTGCACCTTGCCCTGAGCCCCCATCCTCCAGAACTCCTGGCCTGCTGCTGCTCATTCCTCACAGTCCTCAGAGTTCCTGGGACGGGCTCCTGACGTGCTCACCCAGATAGCTGGGGGTGACTTTCAGGAATGACCACATCGTGCAGCATGGACAAGTGTGCCCTGCAGAGACCTGTCTTGTTCACCTACTTGGCGAGGGCAGGAATCACATCCAGTTCATTATGTCACTCTCAGGGACCCCACCCTCTGGACCCTCCCAGGCACCCATGTGCTGATCCCAGTACTGCTGAGGCCACGCTTTGCATCCTCTGTTCCCAGCGCTGCCTCCCGGCCGGTCATCACACAACAGATCCCTGTGTGTGTCACTTGTGCAAGTGTTCCCAGGTGCTCTGGGAAGAGAGAGGGCACTGCAGCCCAGACTAGCACTTGCCGGTCTCATGTCTAATCCCAGCAGCAGCTCAGCAGATGCTGGGCTCTAGGCTCTAACAAACCTGAGGTTGCTGGGGCCATGGGGCAAGCATGCCCGTCGGAGCTGACATATCCAGGTGGCTGTAGAAGCCCAACTACCCCACCCTCCTTCTACCAGTTGGGCTGAGAGGCTGCAGCTGCTGCTGGTTTTTGTTTTTCTTTTAAATAGTAAAGGGGTATATCACCTCTTGGAATAGCGGCTGTCCACAGGTAGGGGATCTTTAGGCAGGACTTAATCAGGGTCCTGTCTCTGAGGTTGGTCCTGGTTCTTCCTTTCTGACATACTGGCTTCATCTCTAGGCTGCCTGACCTTCCATTGGTTCTTAGAGCAGAAAAGTAGGGAGTCTGATGTCCCCAGTTACTGACAGCATTGCTGAGGGGGTGGGAGGTAGGAGTGGGGCTCCCAGGTGAGAGGCCCCAGAGCCTCATCTGCCCGGATCCCCATTCTAGAACTCAGCAAGTTTCTACCAAGACAGATAGCCCCAACCTGGCAGATGGGGTGGGCCTGGGTCGTGGGGAGACCGAGGCTTGGTTCTCATTGGCAGGCCTTCTAAGTGATGACTGGGCACCAACCAGGGTACACTCTGGACAGGCAGCTGCTGCTGCTCTCCTTCCCTGCACAAACAACAGACATGGCAAACCATCAACACTGCTCTCCTTGGAGGCTATCTACAGAGGTCAGACATCTTGGGAGAGACTAGGGTCTCTTTGGGGCAGGAGAGTACCGGCAGGCTCTGTGGGAGGCTGCCGGGACAGGCATCCGCGCTCTGGCCCTTCTTGCCTTGGCTAGGTGGGCCCGAGCTCTCCTGTCTCCCCACGCCTTCTTTCCTGCGTGGGATACAAATGGGCTCTGGGTGGGCAGGTAGGGGCTCTAGCAGGCACTGCCCTCGGTCCCAGGAGGGGTACGTGACTCGCCGGACCCTCCTGGAAGCCGCCTCTTCTCAGGTTTGCTGTGCTCAGCCCCCACCTCCCGAGGGTCGGGGACGCTGGGCAGTTTCAGACTAGATCAAGCGGTGCCACCGAGAGGGTGCAGCGCGCGGTAGGCTGGGGAAGAGGCTTTCTGGGCCGCAGTGCCATTCCGGAGACCTCGGCGAGGGGATGGGTGGGGTGGCCGCACAGCCATTTCCAGGTGCCCGCGACGGCAGGAGGGAGTGTCCCAGGCGTTCATCCCAGCAGCCAGACCTCGCTCGCCTTTGCTCACTCATGGAGAGCCCCCACTGCCTCCCACCAACGGTCCTGAATGTGCTTCACACATCCTGATTTGAAAGCATCCACAGGGCCGCCGCCTCCCACCTCCCGAGGAATCCGCGGTGCTGAGCCCGCAGGGAGGCCGGCTGGACGGCCCGGGCGCCTCCCCATTGGTTGGCCCGATCGGGCTCGACTCCCTCGCGCGCCGCAGGCCACAGGCTCACCTCCCTTCCCGCCGCTGCGCCCGGGGAGAGGAAGCGAGGTGGCCTTTCCCTCGCGCAAGCCAGCCAGGAATGCGGGGCCGCGCTTCCCCCTCCACCAGCCCGAGGGCTGAGGGCAGCGCCGGCAGGAAGCGACCCGCAGGGTCCGGGTGGTGGAGACGTGTCCTGGGCGCTGAGATCCGGACCGTACGCGGGGCCCGGGCGAGGCCTGGGCCACTGGTTCACGCCCCTTCGTCCCCACTGGGGAGCCGACACGACGGGAGGGACCCACGCGCAACCGCCGGTGCCCTGGGCCAGCCCAAAGCAAACCACACCGGCGCGCGCCCCATGAGGCCCGCGCCCCAGGTGCGCCGAGGCCTCCGAAGGTGGGCGCGCGCGGTGCCCAGACCCTCCGGGACCCCGAGTCCCGGGCGGACTCCGGGCGCCTTTTCTGCCACTCGAGCGGCCCGCGGAGACGCCCGGCCGGGCGGGGGAGTCGCGAAGTTTGCGAGACGCGCGCAGCGCAACGGCGCGTCCGGCGCGGGGACCGCCCGTGACCCGGGCACCCGCGCGCCCCCGAAGAGCCAGCGCGTGGGCAGCGCCCTGTGCGCGGCCCGGGAAGGGACCGGGTGCCCACGCCGGGGTCGTCGCTCCGTGGGGCCGTTTGCAGCCGGTTCCGCGCGCTCGGGGCAGGGGCGCGCCCGGGCCAGGGGGGACCCCTCGCCGCGCCGCCCCGGCCCCCCGCCGGCCCAGGGGAGGGGGCTTCCCACAATGCCCAGCGAGCTCCACCCGCACTTCCGCCGTCCGGCCGCCCGCGGGGGGGGGACAACGGACCCCCGGCGCGGCCCCCTGCGACCCCGCCGCGCGGCGCCCGGGGCCGAGCGAGGGGCGGGGGCCGGCGGCCGAGCCGGCGTGGGCGGGGCCCGGGGCGGTGGCCGCGGCCGGGGCGCGGCACGGGCCAATCAGCGGCAGCTGGGCGCGCGCCGGGGGGCGGGGTCAGGGTCCGCAGGCGGGGCGCGCGCGCGCGCGGGCGGCGGGGGCCGCGGGGTTGGAGCGGGCGCGGGGGCGCGCGCCGGCCTGACGGACCGACGGACGAACGGACGGACCGAGCAGCCCCGGCGAGCGCGCAGCTCGGACCCGCCCGGACGCAGCGCCCGCCCGGCGGCGGCGGCGATCACCGGCGCCTGGCCGGCGGCCGCGGCGCCCGCCCTCGCCCGCGCGCCCCATGGGGTCACAGGTAAGCGGCGCCGGCTCATTGTCCGCTTGGCCGGGCGGGCGCATCGCGGCGGGGGCCGGGCCGGGCGGGAGCCGGAGCGGGTAGCCCGGGCCGCTGCGAGCCCGGGCGCGCCCCCGCCGCCGGCCGCCCCGCCACGCCCCGCCCCGCGGGGGCGCCCTCCCGGGGGTCATCGGCGCGCCCGGCTGCGTTGCGGGCTCCGGGGGCGGTGGAGGAGACCCCGGCCCGGCCCCCGCGGGTTCCTCCCAGGCCGGCGGCGCGGGGCGGGGCGCGCGGGGGCCGCGCGGGGTCCCCGCGGGGCTGAGCACGGAGGCGGCGGGGCTGCCCCGGCCCCTCGGCCCCCGGCACCTCCCGCCGCCGCTGCCGCGCGCCCTCCTCGGCACCTCCGAAAGGGGAATTTTCCAGCTGGTAATTTCTGCTGCGTCAACGCCTGGCCCCGAGGCAGCCCGGGGGCGTCCCCACGCCCCCCGGCCGCGCCCCCCGCCGGCGCTGCCCGGCCGCACCCGGAGCCGCCCGCGCCGAGTTTGCCAAGAGTCGGAACTGCAGGCGGTGGGCGCGGGCGGGTCCGAGCGCCCCGGGGCGGGGGGTCATTGTCTCCTGGGCGCCGGACGCGGGCCTGGTCTCCATCTTAATCTCGGGCCGCACCGGGCGCGGGGGGCCTCGGGCGGGGAGGCGCGGGGCGCGCGGGGCGCGCGGAGCGGACGGGGCGCGCCGAGGGAGCGGAGTCCGCTTTGAGCCGCGTCTTTGTTTCTCTGTAAATAGACATGTCAGTTTCGCGGGGAGGGGAGCTGGTGTCTGGCAACTCAGTCCCGAGGGCGACGGGGGATTCTCGGCGCCGCCCGGGGGAGGGCTCTGGCCGGCTGGGGGTCCCCTGGCTCCGGGGACAGATGCGCTGTTTGTAGGTTCCGCGAACCGCTCACAATAGGGCGGGACCAGGGGCTCTGGCGCAGGTGGGGGGGGGGCGGCGTGGAACAGGTATTTTCTAACATCCAAGAAATATACACACAGAAAAGTTTGAGATTCGCAGCGAATTTCCTCTCGCTTCCGAGCTGCAATCTCAGCGACGCGTCTGGCGTGGATCGTGGCAGCGAGATTGTGATCAGCATTGTTTAAAGAAATGCTAATTAAAACGCGTTCCGCGGGCGGCCTGGGCGCAGACACCTGTGAGCAGAGCTCGCGGGCGTTTGGATCGCACCGGTCGTGGGGTCTTCCCATGGGCTCTATCCGCAGAGTAACTTCCCGTTTGGTAACAGACTGCGGAGACGCCTCTCCTGCTAGCACCCGCGTCGCCTGTGAAGGCAGCGGTTCACGGTACGAGAGTGGAGAATAGTTCTTGGAAAGGACAGAAGGGGTTTTTCACGTGAACGATGAAGCCAGCGACCGTGTTTATCGTAGCGGAGCCCTTCTATTCCGTGTGTTTTGTGACAGTTAGTGCTTCCCACGGAAACCTTTGGGCACTTCAGCCCTGTGGCTACAGGAAGGACTGAGGAGTGAGGGGGGACGAGGCATAAGTTACCGCACGTCCAGACGGAAACTTACACACTGTGTCCTCCCAAAAGCCGGACAGCTTCGTCTCCTTTACTGAAGGGAAGAGGGGTGGGAGTTACTGTGGGATTTCTCCTTGGGGGGGATGGAACGCACTCACTTTGCTGTGTTTGGAAATCCAAAATTTGGTCTTGCCTTCTTCAGGCCGGCCTGGGGACAAACATTTAATTAAGCCTCTCACTGGTGGTGTAATCTTGGAGCTGAGAGTTTTGTTTTGCTTCGATGAGGTAATTTCTGTTCGGGTTTAGCTGTTTGGTGTGTGAAGATGAGTCGTTCTCTGCTCAGACCTCATTTCCACGCCTCTTTCAGATGATCAGGATGGGTGGACTGGTACCTAAGGACCCCAGGTCAGTGACACCAGGGCCAGGCTGACCCCATGCTCTGTGCCCCGTCCCTCCTCAGGCCCCGGTGGTCACAGAGGTCATGATGTCAACGCTGTGAGCAGAGAGAAAAATGCCCAAAGGGTTCACCGTCATTGTCAGAGGCTGTGTTATTTACAAACACTGTTACTGAGTTACATTTCTGCAGAGTGAACTTTCCAACACTGTCCTTATGTGGGGCTTTTCAAATTAAGGGAAATTGGGCCACTGTGTCCCTGTGGTCCATGTTTCTGGGACAGCGGTGCAGCTCCAGTGCTCCGTTCTCCGTCAGAGGTCTTAGCTCAGCCTCACAGAGCCCAGGAGACCCACTTTGTGCCCGGTGCCTCGACTGTGCCGCCAGCCCGAGAACTTGGGCTCCTTCCTCCCATTGTCATGGCTGGTGCCCAGGCGCCCTTTCCGTGGCTGAATTCAAGTGAGAGGAAAGCTCTAGAAGCCACAGCCCCCTCCCATCCCCACACCCAGTGTCTGGGCGTCTGCCATGGGCGGCTCCCTGTCCCGGGGACCTTGTGTTCTTGTCCAAGTACCGTTCCTGTAAAAATTCAGGCTGCTGCTTTTCCCTGGACTTAGCGTGTTTTACCTGGAAGTCTCATGAGTGACCTTGAGTGATGGGTGACACTTGTCTACTGGTTTTTCTAGAGGATTAAAAAAAAAATTCGCCATGAATCTATCCCCTCCCTTGGGGAACAAGATTCTTCTTGTTGCTGCTAAGTTTGCTTGAATGGCCTGGCTCCTAAGAATAAATGTTCGATTAAAAATCTCTATTAAGGCCACAGAGTTACTCAGGGCTTTGAAATGCGGCTGCCTTGCCCTGATTAGGGTCCTCCTGCCCTCTGCCGTGGCTCTGGCGTGGCTGTGAGCTTGTGCAGGGTGCTGCAGTCTTACTTAGACCATGGGATAGGTGGGTGGGATTTTCCTGCTTTTCTGCTGTTATCGCTTAAGCAGGTTGAGTACCTCACATATGCAGACCCAGGCTTGCTGTTCTGGTTTGCTGTGATGACAAAGGGCCCCAATGATGTTGTTTATAGACGGGAAACATCTATGGTTCTGATCTGAGGCCAGGCGTGGTGGCTCAGGCCTGTAGTCTCAGTGCTTTGGGAGGCTGAGGCAGGAGGGTTGCTTAAGGCCAGGAGTTTGAGGCTGCAGTGAACTATGATTGTGCCGCTGCACTCCAGCCTGGGCAACAGAGTGAGACCTCCTGTCTAAAAAAATAAAATTAAGTAAAAAAAAAAAAGAAAGAAAAGAAAATGTTGTTTTGTGAAAGCATAAAAACAAGTAAAATCATAGTCCAAAACCAGTCCCAAACTAGCCCAAAACCAGGTCCAAACCAGTCCAATTTGACTGAAAAGTGATTTATGCAAAATTTTCTGTTGAGTATCAGCAGTGCTGTTTTACTCTAATTTACAATTAACAACGTTTAAAAACATTTAAAAGTTTTAATCTGGATTAAGAAATTGCTACCATGGCTATTTTAGAATAGAAAGTTGAGAAACTGTTTTTTTCAAAAGTACTTGCAGAGCTTTTGTGTTTTGACAGGTGTGTTTTTGAGGCTTATTAGAGAGACACTTGGGGTCTCCTATTTGTGACAGTTTTTTGGCGTTAGGGAGGGCCTCTAGGACCAGCCTTTAGGGTAGGTTGGTGAGAAAGTTTCCACAGAGGTGGGTTGGGGGCATACAGAAGCCGCTGATGGGGTGCGATGTGGTGGCAGAGGCTGGTGAGGAGCCCTCCAGGGCTGGAGGAGGGCGCCTAGGCTGCTGTGGGGAGTGGCACAGAGGCCAAAAGGGACTCGGGGGAGGGGGTCCCCTCGGTGACCTGCCCGCATGGTTCCAGACCTGGCAGCTGGCCGGTCCTGTTGGAGTGAGTTGAGTGGGTTGCCGGCCGGAGGGCAGGGCCACTGTAAGAGGCAGCTTCTGGGAGCTGGTCAGCTGTGGGGTGGGCATGAGGAACCGTTGAGTTTCGCGTTGTGCCTTCCGAAGACTTGGCTCAGCGCACAGAGCCCCTTCCCAAGGCCGCTGCTGTCTCCCTGGAACGGTCACCGGTGCCGGTGAAGCCTTTCTCCTCCACCGTCTTTGCCAGCCCAGGTGCTGCCCCGGCTCCTCGTGGTTTTTCTTTCAGCATTTCTGACTTACTGGCGCCTCAGCCCTTTTCAGTTGCCCCCAAAATGGAGAAGAGCCACATACGCATGTGTGAACGATCAGTTTTTAAAAATGTCTTCATTTATCTGAAAGTTGGACAGCACTGTTACCTGCATGGGACACACAGATACTTTGTTGTTTGTAAGACATTTTTGTTTGCAAAAATACATCACGTCTCTTTCCTTCCAAGCACTCTGAAGAAAATGAAGCCTCTTGCCCAGAAATCTTCCCTTTCGCTGTCATCGCTGCTCACAAGGCCTGTGCGGGCCTCCTCTGTGGCGACATGGAGAACGGCGCGTCTCTGGGCCTGGGGCTGCCTGCGGAGGGTCAGGAACTTCAGGTGTTAACAGCTGTGTCTGAGGGGTGGACACAGCAAGGTCCACGCTGCTCTGGGGGAATCATCATTTCAGTGTGGTCAACTGCCCGCAGGATGCTTCGCGTGTCTGCTGGGAGCTGCACTGTGGCTCCTGATTGGGCAGGAGCGCGAGAAGCCTCCGCAAGCTATGCTTTCCCTGTCTGCAGCGCCGATTGGCCGCGTTCCCTGTTTGCAGCACCGATTGGCCGCGTTCCCTGTTTGCAGCACCGATTGGCCGCGTTCCCCGTCTGCGGCGTCGATTGGCCGCGTTCCCTGTCTCCAGTGCCGATTGGCCCCGTTCCCTTCTGCAGCGCCTAATGGCCGCGTTCCCTTCTGCAGCGCCGATTGGCCTCGTTCCCCGTCTGTGCAGCGCCGATTGGCCAGGTTCCATGTCTGCAGCGCCGATTGGCCACTTTCCCTGTCAGCAGCGCCGATTGGCCGCATTCCCTGTCTGCAGTGCCGATTGGCCGCGTTCTCGTCTGCAGCGCCGATTGGCTGCTTTCCCAAATGATTTCAAATGATCCCACAGAAAGTCACAGACATTAGAAGCTTCTGAGTTGTGAGGAAACAGAGGCCTGCTTGTTGATTTCTGGGTTGTAGGGGCACCTCA